ATTTAAAATTGTTTTTATCAAGTGCTACATTAAAGTGCAGTTTTCTTAATAAATTGAAAAAAGAAGACTGTACACTAAATACCAGGTGACATCTACTAATGGGGATTCCAAATGAATAAAAAGACAAAGAAAATGTAGTATAGAAGTGGGGAAAAGTTTGATCTTGGGAGAATAACAGGGAAACTAACTCAGATTTGGGTGGCCAGAGAAGTAAAGGCCTGGCAGAAGTGACGCCTAAGCTGAAAACTTGGAAAGAATAAACAGAGCAAGTTAAAGAGTTAAGGCAAAAGGAAACAGGTTTTAGGCAGAAATAATAGTACATATAAGGCATCAATAAGCCAAAACACCAGGAGGTATTAAAACTGTAAGAAGCTTAGGTCAGCTGAAGAGCGTAGCAATTGTGAGAGCCAGGAAGGAAAAGATCCAGTGGCTAAGGTGACATGACTGAGAGAAGAGGTCAGGACCACATCATAGACAAAGTGCTTTGGATGTTACCTAAGAACAGTGGTCAGCCATGGAAGAGGTTTAAACAGGAAGGTGATGTGATGAGAATTTATGTTCTGGAAAGATTAGATAAACTGATGTAGGGCAAGACTGGATAACAGGGAGGCAACTGTAGACACCCTGGTTAGGAAGATGGCTTGAGCTGTTACACTTTTCTTCTAGGACCCTTATTTTCTCTTATTCCTATAACTGCTAGTTTTCTTTCTTCTCTGCAGTGACTTCTGACCTCCTCCATATCTATGTGTTGTAGTTCTTCCAGGCTCAGATCTTTTCTTTATTCACACTCTTTATCAAGTGATCTCATCTAACCCAATGATTTTAAATATCATCCGGACACTGACAAGCCTCAGATTTATGCCACCCAGCAGAACAGTCCTCTGCTTTCAGACTCATATATTTAACCTCTCCGTTTAGTGCTTAATGGGTACCTCAAAATGTATTAATTCTCCTCCCAGAGTTGCCACACCATGCTTTCACCTTATCAGAATGGCAACTCCATCTGTCTGTTGCATAGCCAAAATTCTGAAATCATTCAGAACATTTTTCTTTTTGTCATACTCTACCTAATCTATCAGCAAATCCTTTTGTGGCCTCAAAATGACATATTTTTTTTACAACTGACATTGCTGCCTATCGGCCTAAGCCACAATAGCCTTGAATCTAGATTATTCTAACAGCCTAGGTATCATAACAGATTATTGTTATAATAGACCAATGTAACAGATCTCCCTGTTTCTGCTCTAGTTCCCTTCAGGCTTATACTCAACACAGCAGTTAGACTTTATCCTTAACAATATGAGGTCATGTCACCCAGAATAAAAACCCAAGCCCCACTCCCCATCCCACTCCTATGACCTTAGCTATTACTGTTCTTCCCCTTGTCACTTTGTTGCAGACAGCCTGGTCCCTCAGAGCCTTCAAGCAAGTTCTCACTCATAGCCTTGCACACACCTATGTCCTTTGCCTTGAATGCTCAAAACCCAGATACCCAGAAACCGTTTCCTTATCTTTTTTTCAGATCTTTCCTGAAATATAATTTTATACCTTATACCAAAAAGCAACCTTCCTCAAAACCTGCCTAAACCTCTCACCCTACTTTACTTCTCTTTATAATACTTCACACCATCTCCATATGTCTTAGCACAATATTATTTTCTGGCTTGTTTATTTATTCCATCTTCCCCTCACTAAAACTGTGAGCTTTATGGAATCAGAAATCACCTGGGTTTTGCTTAGGGCTCCAGAACATCTCTTAGCACCCAGCAAACACTCAAGAATGAAGGAGGGAAGAATTTGAGTAGAGTAGAATTAGAGAGAAGCAGATAAACCTGAGGTCTGTTTCAGTGGTAGAAGAGTCAGACTGTGATGAGTTATTGGCACTGAGCAGGAGAAGGGAGAAGAAGAAGACAGGGAGGACTAGGAGGCTGTCCAACTTTCTCACCCAGACCATTGAATTGATGATTAACTGAAATAGAGAAGATAGGAAGAGGAATGGATTCAGGGCAGGGAAAAAGAAGGCCAAATTCAATTTTGAAGTTGAGATTAAGGTTATTGGGAGATATTCAACTGAAGATGTCTTGAAGGCAGCTGACTCTGGGATTATTAATTGGACTTAGGCTGAGTATTTATCTCTGTTTGCTACAGAGCAAGTATGGGGAAAGGTGATGAAGAATGTGCAATGCTGACTTATTTCCAGGGGAAAGCTAAATCCTGCTAGTTCACTCCTCAGGTGAGTTTAACAATCCAGCCACTCCTCAGGAACTCAAAATCGTTCAGAAACTGCATTCTCCAAGCTTCCAAGGAGCCTCATTGTCTGAATGCAACCATTTCTCAGTCTGACTCTGGGGGTGCGTGCTTGCCATTCAGAACCTACTATATTTTACTGCACCTCCTGACATTGTTACACAACATTTATTGAAAGCACATTTGATGGTAATGAAGTTTCTATTAACTATGATTAAATCTCATAAAGCACCTGAAGATAATTTAAGATGTGCAGAAGCAGAAAATGAAACATTCGGTTTAGTACATTAGGAAACGTAATTGATTAAATTATCTCATTTACAATAAGTGCTTTCATGAGCTATGCACTGCACATATTTCCCCAGTTTGTCATTATGATTTGCTAACACATATCTTAAGACTTCACTTTCTTTCTGCACCTTCCTGCAAATCAAAGCTGGTTCCTCTGCCCGCCTGTTCTTGGATAACTATGTGCAAGGCACCGAGTGATGTTTTCTATCCACCAGGCCTTGGGAAGGATCATGTATACAGCTATAAATAGGAACAGGTTGTTTCTCAATTATCTTCATAATTGACTTTGATTTTGCATCAGTGATGATTCATGTAGTCTTAAACTAAGCCCCACTTCCACTGAATGGTGGAGCTTGAATTTGTAGAACACATACCTAACCATGCAGCTTACAGAACCCCGACTGGATTCCTCTGGGAGCCTTCTGCAATCACATTGATTCTGTTAAGGTTTTATTTTTAGGGAAATCACAAATTAAAATGGTTTAAGCAATTCCATCGCAGTATCCAGCAATTAAGTATGGTGCTCAGGAGCAAGAACCCCAAGCAAAAAATGAATTCAAGACCCCCTAAGGAATTGAGAGCGCTTCTGTGGGGTTTATGGCTGGAAGTACAGATGTAACCAAATTAGAGTGGCACAGGACTCACAAACTAAGCGTGAAATTAATTTTAAAAACACACACATGCATTTCTAAGTAACTCTTACAGTGGTCACCACATGGACACCCATAATCCTGCTTGCACTGTACACAGGACCAGCGGATGGGATGCAAATTGGACGAACAGCAAAGCAAGCTGAGAGTCTACTCACCCCTGCTGTCACCACAAGGGTCTTAGTACAGGCACACAACACATATTCAGTGGCCTGTTTCTTTCTTTATATATGTGTGTGGACATATATATGTCCACACACATATATAAACACACACCTACACAGCCAGGTTCCTCCAAACTCAATCTTCCTATGACTTTAAGATCAAACACAGGTGATATCAGAAGGCCACTACACAAGGACCAAAGATTCCTTTATAAGCAGCTGACAGTAGAGAAAGAAGTTAAATTTTGTTTTTGTTACTTTATAAAATTCTCACCCAGACTTCAAGTAGTGGCATCTATATCTCTAGCTTGTCTAAAAGCGACACAAGGAAGTGTGAACAGAATGGCTTTTCTGGATCTTTTTCTCATGTCTCCTGATGCCTGTTCCAAGGTACTTATTTCTGTCTATCTTTACAGGGTCTTAATTCTTTCAAAGAAGTTAGCTAATAAAAGCTATTAACTCTTTCCAGCTCTTTGAAATTTTATGCCCTAGGATTTAAAAGATCAAAAGTCATTCATCTTATATTAAATGAGAAAAACTGGGCAGAGACATCTTTTACAAGTTTCGCAAACCAAACCGGCCAAGCAGATGTGCAATTCTTTTATTGATAAGAGGTGTACTGCTGATGCCTGATATCTTAATGTTTCCTAGATTGATTAACCTATTTCTGACTACATGCCAATGATATGAAGAACACGTTAACATGTAGATTCTTAGGAGGATGCCTGGCTGGGATTCTAATTCATCTCTTCTTTCCTGAGGTCGGGCATATTTAATAAGCTCCTATAATACCCCATAATTCTGATGTATGTGGTCTCCCATCCACTTTTTTGAAAGATGATTTTGTAAGAAGTGGTTCTCAGCCTGAGTTGAGCATTGGGATTCCTTGGGGAGCCATGAAAAATAGGAATTTCAGGGTTCTAATGCCCCCAATCCTAAATTCCTGGCTTCACTGTACAGCCTGAAAAATGGAATTTTTTAAAGCTTTCCTGGTGATTCTAAAGTGCAGTCAAAACTGAGAAGCACAGAGTCAAATGCCAAGCTGCCAACCATATAAGCCATACTCCTTTTCTCTAAATCTACTAGATGCAAAAATGGAAATAATGCAAAGGCTCCTTTAGGAAGCAAGCCTGGATCCAGGGAGCTCCAGCTGGCACCAACACCAACGTTGAGTTCAGAATGATTTCACTGTGGAATTCTGGCTCCTCATCTACCCAGTTGCCCTGGATGACACAGCAGGTGAGATTCTAGTTTGCATTCTCCAGCACCTCCTCCTCTTTCTTGAGAGGCGTGGAGCCAGGTTTTTGCCCAAAAGGCTGCTCCATGAAAGTGTACTGACAAATATTTATTAATTTTAATGCTATAAATCTCTCCAGAAATAAGAATCCCAGATGACATTTGCAGAGAAATGGACTTATAGGCAGAAAGAATCAAAAGGAGAGATTTACTTTTGCTCTGAGGGAGGGAGGGCTGTGCATACTTCTTTTTGATTTAAGCCTCTGATACGCGAGTCTAAACTCAATGAGAAATCCCCAAAAGTCCGGGATCTTTCATAGGAACTTCAATTCTGCTTGGTTCCTAAACAAATACAACAGTAAGGTAGCAAGTATGAGAATAAATTATATTCACAAGAGGAAAAAGAACTTACTTTGGGGTTTTATTTCATGAAGAGGTTTTTTATCTAAAAGAAAGAAAGAGAAAAAGAAAGTTGCATTTAATAAATTTACATGGTGCAGATATATTCCTGTATCACTGTGTATCCACCTCTAGAAATGATACATTTTCTCCATTTTTGCAGACAATATTGATTATGTTGTTTATGTTTTTCTTTTTCATTCTATTTTTTATTGGGTCTTTTGAAGTCATCTTTCTAAGATGATTTTTTTTTAAATTTACTCTCTCTCTCTGGTTTACTAGTGCTATTCTCTGTTGCCTTCACTAGACTCTTATCTGCATGATAAAAGTGGGGAACTTGCTGCCTGTCCCTTTTTTTATATACAACGAGAAGCCTGCTCAGGTAGGAGGTCCCAGTTCACTATATATGATGATATATAAAATGAACCTGTGAATAAATATTTAAAGGGATTCTGCATCAGTTTGCAATAATCATGGTCCTGATAAAAAGTTCCAAACTCTGCCTGTGCCTGTTTATCCATTTCTTTGGGCTATGGGTACAGTATTATGAGATTGGCTACTGGGGCCGGAGGAAGTACAGATTGGGAGGGCTGTAGTTCAAGGCCAGACCTGGCAAAAAGTTAGCAAGACCCCCATCTCAACAAACAATCTGGGTGTGGTGTTGTGTGCCTATGATCCTAGCAATATGCAAAGCTGTAGATAGGTGGATGGTGATCCAAGGTTGGCCTAGTGCAAAATCAAGACCCTGCATGAAAAATAACTACAGCAAAAAGGGCTTTGAATTATTTTGCTCAAGTGGCAGAGTGCCTACAAAGCAAGCATGAAGTACTGCTCCCTCCCCCTCAAAAAACATGTCACTGTTTTTCTGTTTGTTTCACGTCTCCATTATCTGTTAAAATGTGTACTAACTCTCTCAATGGAAAAGGTGTCATTTTATCCGAGTAGGAATTAGCAACATACCCATCAGATGAGGTGAATAACAGAAAAGACATTCAGTAGGACCCTTGGAGTCCACGCTCAACCGAAGCATCATACCACAGTCCTCTCACTCCCTTTTCTTCCTGCCCCTGGTCCCATCTCAGGACATCATGACTGACACACTGCAGAAGCCAGAAACCACTACTCTTCAGACTGGATGCCAATATCCAGAAGTTTGCACGAATCTGCATCAGTCTTTTCCCAGGGCTTAGATGGAATGTTATCAGACAACAAGGACCCAGGCTGTTGCTGATCATTCACACAATGAAAGGTCACCTTACACAGTCCCCATCTCTGTTTGCCTGAAGGTGAGCCACCCGGAGTGAGACTGTCATTGTGGATTATGTTTTAAACTGAATCAAAGCTAGCACACTACACATTTGAGAAATTCATAAATATTATCTGACTGACTGCACTGTAGGCCCTCCCAGAAAGACAAACTGCTGCATTCACAGCTCTCCATGGAATTTCTTACCCTAACCCATTCCTGCATTTAATACCAATACTAAGAGAAAGCCCTTACAATATCTAAGTGCCATGTTTTATATGTGGCTTGAATGTTTTGCCATTTGATGAGTTATAGGGCAGCTTTTACAAGTGTAAATCATACTTTTGCAAATGGGCCTTTTAAAAAAAAAACAGAAAAGCAAAATGAGCTGGCAAAGGGTAATTTCTGACTTTTATTATTTTTTTTGGGCAGTACTAGGGTTTGAACTCAGGACCCAGTGCTTGCGAGGCAGGGGCTCTCCCACTTGAGCCATGCCCCCAAGCTTTAGTTATTTTTCTAATGGGAGCTTGCATTTATGCTCAAGCCAGCCTGGACTTGGATCCTACTTATGCCTCCTGCGTCGCTGAGATGACAGGTGCACATCACCATGTCCAAGTATTAGTTTAGATGGGATCTCATGAACTGTTTGCCTGGGCTGACCTCGAACTGCAATCCTCCTTATCTCTGCCTCCCAAGTAGCTAAGATTTCAGGTGTGAGCCACTCTGTCTGGCCTGGCATATCTTTTTTTTTTTTAAATGGAAAATCCCCATCAAGACAGCAATTTATGTACATTGGTCTGATCACACATAGCCAGACTTTGCCCACAGAACACTTGCATTCCATTCACTGCATAGATTCAACACCACCGGATTTCCCAAGAGCAGGTGGCATGTCCTGAAGTCCAGATGCTAATGCACTCAAGAATTAGAACGAAATGACTTTGGTGGATTTAACCGAGCTTCAGTTTTTGCTTATCACATGGCATCTGAAAGCACTTGGCGTAGGCACAGTGAAGCTGGCAGGCCCAGGCTAAGATGTCTGAAAGTGATGCATTGCTACAACCACACAAGGAGACGTGCAGAACATCTGTTTAGAACTCTGGCTGAGCTTAACAGTATTTTCTTCCTTCCGAACCACAGGAATGGAGATTATGCCAGGCAGCAAAATGAAACTCCATTAAAAACAGGTGAGATATGAAACAGCTCCCTAGAAGAATACATCAAATATAGCCAGGCTATGAAAACTTGGGGCAGTAGCGTTCTACTGGGTGTAGCTCTGAAAAAAGAAAGTGCATGGGGCCAAAGCCCAGGGTTAAGGTCCCAAGACAAAGAAACGTGCCCACAAGGGCACAGAGGACATGGGAGGAGTACTTCTCCCTCTGAGCCAGCTGAGATATCAAGGCCATGGCAATGAATGTGGCCCTATGCAGATTTAAACCTCAAATTGTCTGTGTTCTGCTTATGTGACCTCAGTGTTCTCCACGATAGAATGGGAATAAAAATTTCCTTGGAGGCTGCTACTGAGAATTGAGCATGATAAACGTGAAGCCACAGAGCATAGGAATAGCATTATATTGCATCAATAAATGCAATATAATTCAACACGTGCATTCAAATGTCTACTTGTACTACTGCTTAGAGATAAGTCACAGCCCAAATCAGAAATTCTAGTGAATTTGGCGGGTAGCTAAATGGAATTTATGCTTGTGCCTCTGCTATTATGAGACCAAGGCAAAACAAAACTTCAGTTTCCTAATATGTGAATAAGTCAAGGAACAAGAAGGCAGAGTGGGGCTCCCTTGCCTTCACCCACTGTTAATTGGGAGGACAGCAATCAGACAGTGCCACAGAAACCCATTCAAAATGATTTCCTAAAGTCCACTAAAAACCATTCAAAGGGCCACTGCTGTATGAAGGGACTTGTTATGCTGAAGTCCACCATGCACCCCCTGATGGAAAAGGCTGGAAGACTCTGGGGCCCAAGAGAGTTTGAGTCCCCTGGCATCAGCATCAAAATTGGTTGTGTTGTATTTTGTGAAATAATAGAAACTTGACAGCAAGCTGCCATCACACAGCATTTTCCCAACAGGAAACATCTGATCCGAGATTATTCAACAATGAGCACTAGGAAGTTGCTACCCGCTGACCTGCTAACTTTGCAAGCACTGCCTACTCCACACTCAGGCTTCTTTTATTCTGTCTGCATAGTTATTTCCTCACAGGGCTCAATGCCATGCAAGAACTTGGCCTTGGTCAACCAAATCCTCTCCACTTTAATTTTACCTCTCTCCAAAGGCCATATTCAAATGACCCCTTAGTAAATGAATCCATTAGGGCCATGGCGCCTAATGTTGGCTGTACATTAGAATCACCTGGGGAGCTTTTAAAATAAATACCCATTTAAAATAAATACCCATGCCTGGGCCCTGCTCCAAGAGATCTCAATTAATTGGGGTTTGTGTTTTTGTGATTATAATCACTTCCTGGCAAGAAATGTGGGATTCTGTGTGGTCAACTCCAGTTAGTCTCTGCCTCCCTGAGGAGTCTTGGGGTAGCTATGGTATACAGCAGTAGTTGTGGTATACAGAAAATCACAAGTTGTCCCAAGGTCTACCTTATACTGAGAGACAGCATCTGGGTGGAGGGGAATTGATGATAAGTAAGTATAACTCCATCTTAGAATCTTTTTGTGTATTTGTAAGATAAAGATTCATAAATGGTTTTTAATAGTGCTTTAAATTGTCATATTTTCTTTGGAAATCATTTTTACTATTTACAGTTAATAGGCAATTATTACATTAAAAAAAAGCAGATAAGCACAAAGAAAAAAATATAATGCACCACCAAGAGACACCACTGTTAATTAAGTGATATATATATGCCTAGGCTTTTCCTATGATTTTATCTACATGTTAAATATGTGCATACATGTTGATATATATATTACCATGAATCTATATGAAATTACCAGCCATTTTTCATACTAACCTATGAAACCATATAATTGTCTTTTATATATTGTTCTTCAGTCTGCTTTTGTTGTTAATTACTGCAGTGAAAATACTGCTTTGTGTCAGCCTATGTGTGTGTGTGTAGAGGTATATATGCATCTATGTATTGGGGGGAAGTTGCCTTTTATCTGGCAATGGTTCATCCCTTTCTACCTTTCTTTCTTCAATTTTTGCCTCTTTGTTTTACATTCCATGCTTTCAAAGCATTTCCATGGAATCCATTGTTCTTAGGAACTATTTATAACTGCACCCCTACCCACCCACCCACATCCAGCATCTACTGGGGAACAAATGTGGCTGCTGCATGAAGCCCACATCCTGGGGACCTGAGAGAAGGCCTGAGGAGAGAAGGCTCACATGGACAGACAGGTTCCAGCTCCATCCCACACAGCAGGGGGCAACTGCCTAAAGCTGGGTTGTGATGATTTGAAAGGTGCTCCCATCAGTTTTGAGCAATGCCCAGATTTGTTTGATCCTAGGGTTTATGTGGCTTTTAGAATTCAGATATAGGGTTACTAAATACCCACCAAGATGGCTGCTCTCTTCTCAGGAAGAAATTCAAATGTCATTATAGTCAATGTTTACTGTTCTTTTACTTCATTTTATTTTTGGACACCACTTTTATTATTTCCTTTCTTATAGATCAAATTCCTTGAAACCTTTCCCACCCTACCCCAAAATATATTTTAATTGTTTTATATGAATTTATTTTCCACATTCTTTGAATTCTTAAAATTGTGCAGGACTTGATTCTGAAGCCTGATAAATAATTCAGTCTTTCTGTCCATT